GCTTTTGGGTGATAGGCGGTTGTTCGGCTCGTTGCTGTTCCCTTGTTGTGAAGAAAATCACGCAGTTCATAGGACATGAAAGAGGAACCTCGATCTGCGTGAATGTAGACTGGCAGCCCAAACATCGAAAAGAGTTGACAGAAGCATTTAACCACGGTGGAAGAGGATAAGTCAGAGCATGCAAAAGCGAATGGAAAACGGGAATACTCATCCACGATTGTTACTAGATAGCGGTTTCGGGAGTTAGAGGGAACCGGGCCTTTAAAATCAACACTGAGGCGCTCAAGAGGTTGTGTTTCCTTCACAAGTTGGCCCAATGGGGGCTGCACAATCCTTGGTTTCAGCTCACAACAAGCAGTACAATTTGAAATTATTGGCTTGATTTCGGTCACAGAATAGGGAACATTTTTGGCACGGACGAAATGGAGCATGCGTTTTATGCCTGGGTAACACAGTGAGTCATGGACTTGTTTTAGGTTAAGATTGCCAGACAAACTGCTGCAACAGGTACGTGCGAATGCATCGGCTCCCTGGTTGAACTTGCCGGGTCAGTATATAACATCGTATTGAAAGCGTGCAAGTTCGAGCCGCCAGCGCTGTATTTTGTCGTTTTTAATTTTCTTCTGATTCATACTATTGTACATGAAGGCGACAGAACGTTGATCTGTGACCAGTTTGAAATGGTTACCAAGCAGTAGATGTCGCCATTTTCGCACAGCTTCCACGATAGCATAGGCTTCCTTTTTCACTGATGAATGTCGTCTATCAATGGGATATAAGGTGCGGGAAAAGTAGGCTATTGGTCTTCCGTTCTGGTTTAAGCTAGCCGATATATTTACATCAGAAGCATCTGTTTCGACCAGTAGCGGCACATTAAAGTCGGCAGTGATAAGTACGGCGTTTTACAGTTCTTCCTTTAGATTTTCGTCGGATTTCTGGACATATGTTGGTATAGGGAATTCCGTGTTGTGAGCGAGTGGGTTGATCTTGTCAAAGGATTGTAGTATCCATTGGGAGTAGTAAGCCAACATCCCTACTACTCTCCTTTGGGCCTTGATGTCAGTGGGAAAAGACAGTTCTTGCAAAGGCCTCAGTCTTTTAGGGTCGAGCTTAATTATTTCTTTGGAGATTTCATACCCCAGAAGCTTAACCCGTTGGGCCCCGAACACGCTTTTTGTGTCATCAAAGGTTATTCCGTAGTTGGAAGTAACGTTCAAAAAACGATCCAAATTCTGCCGATGTTCAACAGCATCTTTTCCACAAATAGTGACGTTGTCTATCTATATAAGCAAACGTATCAGTTAGATTTTCTTTGGAGATAATTTCATCCATGGTCCTTTGGATGCAGGAGACGCTATTGGTTACTCCGAACGGTATACGACAAAATTGGTAGAGTTTGCCACAGGCCTCAAAACCAGTGTACGATCGTTCCTCCGCTTTGATAGGGATTTAGTGGCAAGCACTCTTTAGATTCAAAGTACTAAATGTATCAAACGTAGCGATTTTCTGGACCATTTCGTTCAGTTTAGGAAGAAGATAAGCGTCGAGGCAGGTTTATTGTCTGACTGTAATCTACGCCCATTCGTCCTTTGTGCCTTTCGTTAGCAGTGACTAGCACTTGAGCTCTCCATGGGGAAAAGGATGGCACGCGGTCTGAACTTCGTCGCTATGGGCTTGCACTCCGGTGCAAGGTTCCGGAAGAGTAATGCGGCTTCAGCTTTTGCTCTGGTAAGGCTGCGGACAGACAAAGAAGCTTTCTTGCCGCCGAACAGAATCTCTAATTTCTCATGTAATTAAAGAAAATCCTGCCCGAGCAAGACATATGAGCACAAATTCTGTAACACGGAAAGTCTCACGTTGTGATACACGTTTCTTTTGTATGTGACTGTTACATTGTAATACCTCGCGGTGCACATCAGCACTTGAGTTGAAGCCATAGATACGCGCGTGCGCGACGGAATAATCTTCCATTTCGCTTGGTGAGCAACAGTAGCAGAGACGTAGCTTTCAGAACTGCCGGTATCAATCAGCGCTTCCAGCTCAGAACCGTTAATCTGTACCCTGGTGATAGCTCGCATTAAGCAATCGGGGCACCTGCGATCGCAGAGTAAGAAATAAGTGAAGTTGCTTGAGAAGTATTTTTCTTTGATAGATTTGACAAACAAGCTTCCTTGAAATATCTCTTCTTACCACAGTTCGTGCAGACTGCCTCGCGAGCCGAACAATTTACCCGCAGATGTCGAGGCTAACCACCAAAGTAGCACTTTTTCTTCTATGCAACTACAATATATGGTGATGGTGATGATGGATACAAAGGTGAAGATTTGGCAATCAAGTGAGGTGACTCGGCTTTGTTGGACATTGATGCGCATGGTGGGGAAAACAAGGTATTATAGTAACACTGAGTGCCGGTGTGCCATTTCCAGGGACCTCTCTAAAGCAAATGCAGTTTGGAAGTTTGACGCTCTGTGTTCCAATAATCGCTGTCGTATCAGGAGAGAGTAATCCAGTAGTGAAGACGTCGCACATGGCGCCATCACGATTTTCCTCTGCGCTAACTGCCTTGAAATTGTAGTCCTTGGCAACGACTTTGGGTTTCTGGGCGAACTGGTCTAAGTTAGATCCGCCGTCTTGTTCGCTAGTAACTGAAATGTGGCGCGCGATAACTTCATTCTTAGGCTTGATATAAGGGCTCTCCAGTGCGTGTATGGCTTCATCGAAGCTGGTACTCTCATTGATATATTCGAAGACTGATGGGAAATGTAGTGCACCAGAATTTTTCACTTATCAGGATTGTGTTCTAATAGACTCCAAAAAATTACAAAAGATATGGTACCAATGAGTCCACTGCCTTTGTGCATCTGGAGCATTGGGATCAACGTCGAAACGGTCTGGTCTGAGAAAACGGTCCATGGAGATTCTTTCACAGACGAATAAATTGTAGTATGGTAGAACGCCAGAGAGAGACCAACTAGTAAAGAATCAGCACCTGGACATTCAGGCTTTCTTGGTCTGCGAATGTAGTCGAGAGTTGAAAGTAAAAAGAACAGGGAATGAATTGCCAACGATAAAAATGGAGAGGAATGATACCACAGTTACGTTCCATCATCACTTCCTTCGCAGCTGAGCTTCATGTCTGGTAGGAGCACCGCGTAGGCTATGAGAGTGTGCCGTGTCTTGTATTTGGTGCAGAAAAGGCGAGTTAGATTAGCGGCCCACTATTGTCGTGTTCCTGGACATTAAAAGTGCATTCGATTCGGTGCATTGATGTGCCCTTTGGGACTGTCTACTAAGGAAAGGTGTGCCCGAGAACTATGTAAATATTACGCGAGCGCGTTACGCGCGTAGCTCGGTCATAGTGAGAGCTTAGGGCAACCTGTCACTGCCCTTCAATCTAGACAGCGGTGTAAGACAAGATACCCGCGGTCACCTTCCCTCTTCAACTTTGTTATTGACCAAGTCATGGGGATCGCGTTCACATGAATTAAAAGGTGTGGAGCTGCTCCCAGATGAACCACTACCTAACTTGCAGTATGCTGACGACGTTGGCCTAATATCTGGCGGCTCACCAACACGCCAAGTGGCAGTGGACAGGTAAGCACTGGCTGTCAGTTCTTTCGAGGTATGTTTTATACCCTCGAAGTGCAAATCTTTCCTCCAAGTTTAGTAAGGACCGCATCCCGCGCTGATCCTTGGTGAGGACCAACTAGAATTCGTTCAATAATTCAACCACCTCGCAGTCGTATCAGCGCCGTTGGAATTGAAGACGAGTTCATAAACCGTATAGCAAAAGCTCGAGGTACTTTTGCTAACCTTCGCCATCTATGGCGCCGGCGCGACATCACTTTCTCCCTGAAGGGTAGGGTGTACAATACAACGGTACGTTGGACCCAACTGTACGGTTGTGAAACCTGGCCCATTAGATCAGCCGATATAAAGAGGCTAGTTACGTTCGACCACCGGTGCCTTCGCAGTTTGGCTCATATCTGGTGAGAACACGGTGTGAGCAATGAGCGTGTACGATGTTTTGTTTATGGCACAAGAAGTAGTGATCCGCTCAGCATCGTTATATCACGCACCAGGCTCAGATGGCTGGGCCACGTGTTGCACATGCCAGCCCACCGAATCTCGCGACGTGCATTGTTTGCACGCCTGGAGTGTGGATGGAAGAAGTAGGGATGGCCAAGCGACGACTTCACTAAGAGCAATGAAGACCCTTACTTTGGATTTGGCCTAGGTTGGAGCCCGAAAGACGATGTACACGTTTAGCTTTATACACTTATTGATATGACTAGGAGCCGACCTCAGTGGTATTTGTGTTGTGAGTTTCTTTGTCCCCCTCCAAACACGGTATCATTTCGGACACATATCGTAACCTTTTACGGAAAATAGTCGGCTCTTGGCTCTCCCGAACCATGTCCATCCGCTACTAGTGACAGCGGTCGCGCCTCTGTTGTATGTTTTTTACTCTTTTATCATATATTGCGGTACAGTAGCTGAGGTGTTGCCCACCTCTAGCTAATGTGTAATGATAATCATCCCACGCGCTACTGGTGTTGGTTGCGCGGCAGCGTCGCGTCGGTACACAGTAGCGGCTGCTTGATGTCTTGCTTTTTAGCTCGCTTATAATGTTAATCGTGTCTGGTTAACCCCTTCATACACAGGCAATACTTTTAATCCAATAGTTATTGTTTTTGTTGGTGGTGATTTACCAGATTTCTTAACATAGTGAACTGAAGGTTTTAATCTTTGATTGCCACTCGTCATTTCGAATATGTGCACATTTCTACACCAACTTTTTCTACCTGTGCGCATATGTACACATTGTAAACGACAGGGTTATACGGCAGACCCGTATGTTGCGCTAGGCTCACATCAAGCGGTGCATTTTTGCTCATGGTAATTCTCACTATGGTCACAACCCATTTTATCCTATCATGTATGCACCGAGACAGTGCACTGAGTTTACACTACCTGATGGCTTTTACACATTCACTCAGGTAGCGGAGGAAGCTTCTCAGTTTTCTGGAAGCACCTATGGTGATTTGGACGATTTCAGAGGTGTTGATGACTTCGAGAAACTTCCGGAAGAACTTGTCAACCACATTCGGTTGCTGTCAGATGTATTGAAACACTACCGGAGTGGACCACTGCCCAAAACCGTCAAAATGATTCCACATTTGCCTGGGTGGGAAGGTTTATTGGAACTGCTGAAGCCATTGGAATGGACGGCTCACGTTTATCCAAAGGTGGTGAGGGTGTTCGCCTCTAAAGGACACGAACCAGCCTTACAGTTGAGTTGAATAACGACCATTTTTCGCTCTAATCATCTACCTTTTTGACACGATTGTCCCTTTAAACACTTCGGTTGTTTTTCGCTAATGAGACTCAATATGGTACCGTGCATACCTAACTGAAGCGGAATGACATTGGTTTATAATGCACTTACCATTAGCAGCTGCTAAGTAGTAACCCACCACTATAAGTATTCGCCAGTTGTGACGTCAGTTGAGATCAAGCGTGCTTTGTTAAGGAAAACAAGTCGTCGTCGGTATATGTCTCACCTGGTGTTTGCCTTGGGCTATGGCCCTCTACAAAATATAGCGTTCCTCAACATCTCTAGCATACTTGGAGCCCGTTGAGAACTCATGTTTTCAGGTGGGACTGTAAACAACAACCTTGTATTACTCTTTTTATGCGTTCATATACATAAGACAATGGGCTTTCTCTACTTATTCACCAAACTTGCCTTTACCTTGTTGCTTTGTGATTAGACCATTCACTCCATGCATCTAGGCCATTAGTATAGTAGTCCCCCCTTTTGGCTTGTGTTCCACGGGTAGCTGCTTCGGACCTGCTTTGATACGAGTGACCTCATAGTATCGCAGTCCGCCTTCAACTACCGGTGATTGCGTCACACCCAAGTGCCGCTAGAAGCTACCGGCATCAGCAGTATTCCAATACGGCAGTACCGACGCTTCACTGCCGCACAACCACCACTGGTCGCCTGTGGACTAAGGATACTGCGCGGGTCACCCTGCCCATACGCAGACTCGAACCCACACCGTCAGATTACAAGACAAGCTCGTTACCTTTAAGCTGCGGGCCGGCATAGAAGCTGCCGACTTTTTACTGATATCTCTTAACTTTTAGTATGAGGGCCCCTGTAGTATCTTAACTGCGCACCACACCGTTCTCTGATCTCTGTAATCTATTGTTACTTTTTCTGCAGTTGGCATCATTTCCTGTCAGCGATTTCTGCCTTGGCCGATAGACAGTCAGAGCATACTATTTCCTATCTACCTGTTCTCATCCCTTCGAATTTCTGCAAAACGTCTGTTCCCGTCAAGGGGCCGTAGGCAGCTTGTGCTACATTATCGACTGCGTCACGCACACACCCAATATCTGGCGAAAAATCCCAGGAATAAGAATGAGGCATTCGAGTGAATGATACTATTGGTTCGGATCATCTTCACACTCTTTTACTTCGCACATCGTGAATACCTGCGGCCTAGATATTTACAGAATAATGGCTCAGTGCTATCGCCTTTTTGTTGGGACCACTTTCTGAGGTTAACACTGTCACTGCTTCTTTGCACTTTAGCTCTCTAAACAACTATCATCAGACCGTGAAAATCAGTAATCGATATGGCAGCGTCGGATAGGTGGTTGTCTTGTCAAAGCTGGGATAGGATTCAACCGCGTCTGATGTATGTCAAGCACATGTCGATCACTCAAGTACTGCCCGGTGGATTCGACAAAGCACAGTTGCGCCTCGTCCTCTCAAACACGATATCCATACCATGGGAGCATGCGACCACCAAGATCTATCGTTGGATTTGCTTGCATACTATGTCATGTGCTTACAACGACTGAGCCGACACAGTTCCAGTCAATTTGAGAGTGCGGATTTACTAATGACCGCGGTTGGTTGGGCAAGGGCCGATTTGTACCGGTTTCCCGCAACTCCTCTTGCTGTCCCAAACAGTGTACTTGGGCCTACGTGTCACTTTTACCTACAAAGCTGGATGTGTTTACGCTTATTCTAAAAGACGGTACGCTATCGATTCTAGCTATCACTCAACAGTCACTGGAAGTGGTGGATCGGTTTACGTACCTAGGTGGGTGATCACCTCACTGAGGCCCTTGTGGCTTTCCAGATGCTCAACTATCCGTGGAGACTGAAATGTCAGCATGTCAGTGAAAGGTAGGATGTATAACGAGGCGATAAGGCCGGTGTTATTGTATGGATTAAAAGCTTGGCCAGCTCACAGTGAAGACGTCAAACACTTGGCCGTGTTTGACCACCGGTGCTTGTGAGGTGTTGCTCACGCCCGGATGAGCCTTCAGATTGACAGTTGCTGTTGGGAATTCATTTTTACACTAATTACTGCGGGATCTTCAATCTCGTATAAATCGTTTTTCCGTTTTGTTTATCTGGATCAATGGTGATAACTTCACTATCCTCTCCTGCCGCTCTTTTAAAGACTTTTCGCGACGCCGCTTTTTGCTCGCAATTTGTTGGATATTCCCATAAAGTCATAAACACCTTTTAAAGAATTATGAGAAAGCAGTCGAAAAAAATGAGAAAGCACCGAGCTGGTTGGCAAGTCAGTCTAAGACGTCCTTCATTAAACCAGAGGCAACTACCATTGACCATTGACCCAGCAATGTTTGATCATTACTAAGAAAAATCTTGGACCTTACCGCAATCTTGCATCAAAGTAAATCTTCAGATGCCGGCGTTTTGATGCTACAGAAAAGTTGCTTGCGTTCTGATATGGCAGAAGAAATTATTCAACTTACTGACTATCGTTCCTTCAGGTCCGATTAAGCACGATTACCCCAGAATCGTGGAGGCAGTGAAATAAGTACATCAACCAACGCTGGTGCACTTCGGCAGCCTTATTGTTCACATACCCAACAACCGCTGTTAGCTGTCATTTGATTGCATGTAAGCCACGGTTCCTGTGTGGTTTTTTCTGTTGTCGTCGGAAATGTATACATATCGCCTGACACACCAGCGTCCGAACTGAGCAAATTTGTTGACAAGTTATCCACTGCGTTACTACCGAAACTCGAACCCTCGGTCTGTGTGATTGCTGGAGATTGCAATAAATGGGATACCAATTTTATTCAGGCATTTGGTCTGACGGACATCGTGACTTTTCCAATTAGACTAAAAACATAATTAGATCTTGCCTTCACAAACCCAGCTCGATTGTTTTCCACGCAAAAATGGGCTTCACTCAGCAACTCTGACCATTCCATCATGAATGTATGCCCTATTATTTACAATAAGACAGACTCCGTTTCTTTGGCTCATACACCAATCAAATCTATCAGGCGACAAGATTATCCCAACATTACGAGACTTCAAGCAACGTTGTCCTCCACTGATTTTACTGTTTTCAACAACGACAATTTATCAGTTCAATATGAGCATTTCAGCATCTCTATTTCTGATTCGACCTTTGCTGCCCACCTGAGACCATTTATTTAAGGAAGAGGGAACGTGCATATAAAACTGCCCGATTGTGTGAAATTACTTTCTTCAGTCATAAAAGCAGCTTATAAGACCGAATGGCTTGTACATTTATGCCATTTTATCCAACCACAACTGCCGTGACCTGTGGCAGCTTTTGAAATAACTGTGTGGTAAAGGCTCTGATAAACTGTTGGGGGCTGTAGATGTCGATAAACTCAACTCTGAATTCCCATCTGCCCCTCAAAATGCCTGCTCTCTGCCTTCATTTCGCCCGCTATCACCATCCGCAGCTGGTCCAACATTTGCATTCCAATACATCGAGGTCTACCAGGAACTCAAGAGGCTGAATGTTAGGAAGGCCGAAGGACCTGATGCTCTATCACCAGTTGTTTTAAATGAGTGTGACGACTCCCTGACCTTACCTCTAACACATCTGTTCAATCGTTGCCTGCACAGTGTCACTATTCCCGACATTTGTAGACCCGTCAGGATAACACCAGTCCCAAAAAAGAAGCTCAGCAATTCCGTCCCATTGCTTATGCATCTATCATGCTGAAAGTCCTAGAACGACTGCTTATCCCTTTAATTTCTACAAGCTCCCCAGCTACTGATGCCTTCTCTCAGTTTACTTATAAACCTAAACGCTCCACTTTGAATGCAGTGGTCTGTCTCGTTCACTCTTCGTCACATCTGCGTTAGATGATAAATGTAAGGCAGTACATCTGCTTTTCCTACATTATTCAAACGCTTTGGGGAGTGTCTATAGGTCACAGCTTCTCAACGTATTATTTACAAACGGCGTCCAACCTGCGGTGTGCAATTTAGTTGGAAATTATTTTACGCATCCCTCACAATTCACCCAAATGAACGACAACAAGTCCTCTACTATTGGTAACGACTGGGGTCTTTTACAGAGGGCAATCCTACCTCTCGTTTTCTTTTCTTTGTACCTAGTGAAACTTTCTGTTCCATCAGGTGTTATTGCATGTGAATACCTCGACGACGTTATTTTAGATAGCGTTTTTCCCACCAACAAGTCATTCTCGGCGCTTCCAAATGGTTGGACGAGCTTGAACGATGGACATCTTCCCGATCCCTTGTCCTCAACACTTCAAAGTGCCGACACATAACCTTTTCACTTCTCCACACTGACAAACATCAAACTTTGCCTAGTGCGTCGAGATCCATTGTTGTTAACCAATGCATTATGCCTTGTTTACTCTCTGTTACATATCTTGGGGTATGTTTATACTAAAACTTGACGTGCTCTACATACATCGATGAAACTTTTCGCAAGGTAAGGAAACTATCATTTTATGCCCTGCGACTCAACATGCTTTCAGTACCACGCTATTTAATCTATAAATTTGTAGCTACCTGTATTCTCCCTCATTGGTTGTACTGCTCGCCTGTTATTTTCCCTGGTCTTCTTCAAAAAGACTTTACAATTATTGTCCGTTCGATTATACTCATCTCTAAATTTAGTGGGATACTCCGAGAGTCTCTTGTAGACTCCACTGTTACCAAGCATTTTGATGCATGCCACAGATTTTAAATGATCCGTATCACCTATCGAAAACTCGCTCCTTCTCCTTTACACGCTCAAACTTTCAGGTACTGTATTCTCGTACCGCTTCTTATCCTAACTCTGTTTTGTCTTATTTATCGCATCTTCTAGTGAACTCTGCGACGATCGTTGCTGCTCCGCGTGAACGTTTGCTTGAGTGAATGTATGTATATTTTGTTTTTTACCATTTGCCAGTCCTTTTAAGTAGACTTCTTTTGTACCGAAATTTTTATATTCACCTTTCTAGTGTGAAAAATGCTTAAAATGTGTTTTTGACTTGACTTCATTTGATGAGTATTACTAAGGTCCACCAGTTAGTTATTGGTAAGAAGCTTTCTGATGCCTCAATGGTGTGTTTGCTGAATTCTAACTGCCTCCGTTTGTTATGTCAGGTTTTACCTATTCCCATTAGCCGTCTTCCCCGGCGTGCATTATACGCCGTGGCTTCACCAAGTTGGACAAAACCGCGTGTTTGTCCTGCCCATGACCTGGCATAAGGGCATGAGGAAACTGACCGAGACAGTTGGTCAGGCTCGTCAATGGGCACCTCTGGATAGTCCACATAAGTGGTTGGAGACGTGATCAGACGCGTCACAGTTGCGCAATTATTAGCGTTCCTGCATTCGCTTTCTTGCATCCGGCTGTTAATTTCCGCTCCTTCCAGTTTAGTTTATAAAGCACATTGATTCCATTTGCTTTACATTCTTTTTTGCGTATAACCTCGTTTTCTTGCCGTGTTCTTGTTGTTTTGGTGACATGAGTCATGGCAACTGAATCCAGTGCATTTCGGTGCCCGGATTTTATTTGTTCAACTGTACTGAACTCGTTCTAAGAAACAGTAACAGTTCCCAATAGTGTTTGTCTCTGACACGACCTCCACCTCGAGCTTACTGATGGTGAACACTGTATCATTCAGCTCATCATCAGTTCACGCGCATACACATGTCTATCTTTTCGAGCAATTTGTGCTTACTGCCAGTCTACATTGTGACCCCCTGAAGGATACCTGACTCCTCTGGGAAATTATTATTACCGGAACGGAGAATAGTTCAACATTTCCCATTAGCATACCGGATCCGATTCCACTCTACAACACTGTATCTGTTACTAAAGCATCCTCCGGCCGGTGGCCTAAGGTATCACAGACATTGTAAACCGAGCGCGCGGATTCCAACTTGCGTAGGGGACAGGTTATTAGGTCCGTTTGCAACTTCTCATAACATCATGTTTTTGGAATCATTTCAATTAACACAACAAGTGATCCATGCCGACGTCAAGATAGCATTTATCCATGACTACGCCGTCGCATCGAAACATGTGACAATCATGAGTGGTTGCAAATGCACTTTCTCACATCCACTCACAATGCGGATGTACTTATGTCGCATCAAGACGCAACCCACACAACCGGACGACCGGACAACGTATGCATACGCTTCTATTCACATGCTCAGTGCCCGGACGCACTCATCCTCGCAACTGTCCGCAATTTGACTTGGACTCACAGCCATCATACAAGCGCGTGCGATGAGTCTCTCTCTTCATGTATCTGTTATCTGTACGCTACTATCATTTATCTCAGTGGCTGGCTTGATTTTGTAATTTATCTCGATTTAAGCGGGACTAACAAAAGCGACCCTCGCAGTATCCTTATTCCACGCGCGACCGTTGGTGGTTGCGCGACTGCAAAATGTCGGTACTGTGTGCTGGTGTGCTGCTTATACGTCGCATACTAGCCTCACTGATATGTTGGACTAGATTGGGGCCTTACTCGCCGGTCTCCATAATACTGATAACATAAAACGAAATCATGAGTCTGGAGTGTGAGTTAGGTTTACCGTTGCCATGAACTACCAAACCTGGAATAAGCACACTGCTATGATTGGCTTGACCGTATGAGTTGGCTAGTGCGACGTCGATGATGAATATATGTAGATAGTTGTTGCTCCTGTCACCAATTCCGATAGTGGTTTACCATAGCTGTTTCACTTCTGGTCGAGATCAAAATGTACTGAGAGTTGGTATTACCTGTCAGTCAGTGTTCTAGACTGTGGACGTTGGAAAAGCTAATATGGAATGCGATGCCTGGTCTACTGAGCTAGTTTGGCACATTAGCCGCTCTGTGGCCGAGTGGTTCGTGCGTCGGATTTGTAATCCAAAACCCACTGGTTCGGGCCTGTGTATATATGACCCGCACACACCTGATGGTGGTTGCGATGCAGTAAACTGTCGATACGGTGTTCTTGTGTATTGCAGGTGCATTCTTCGGCATTAATTTCGATGTCAGCGTTGGAGTCCAGCTCGTGAAACTAACAGTAAAGCACCTGAAAGGTGGGGCAAACAGCAAGAAAGATTAACCCTTTAGCCGGAGCCTTAATGGTACATGGCATTCCGACCGCCCATTCTTAGGTTGCCCATCCCCAGAACACTTCAGGACATTCCACCATGATAGAACATCCACGGTAATAGGCGTTTAGCACGTGGCGCCTCAACACTTGCTTCATCTTGTTGTACCCGATTAATGAGACCGAATTGTTTGTTATGGTTACAACATCACTGGATCCAACCTCCTTTGCATTCATTACTCTGACCCCTACTCGACGTTATGATTTTCTCTGCTTGTTGATCCTTTCTAGTTTCTACGAAAATTATCTCTTGCCAAAAGTCAGACAGGATATAGAAGAAAATCGGCGGCTTTCTGTGCAGATGTTCGAAGCGTTGATTGCCTCTATGTTCCGGCCGGAGGAGTTTGTGTCCGGTGTTTTCCTACCTTGGATGCAGGTGAGCGATGCCGCGCATAGCTTGTTTTGTTACTCTTGGAATGTATTTTTCCTTGAAATCGCTTGTTGCGATTGTGACAGCGAAGATTGGGTCAGTTACCGTGAATCACGTTAATCTATGTCACGTCCAAGATTTTCGTGTCCGTCCTACTTCCCAGGTTTCCAACGACTAACAAGGGCTTTTCCCAATAGGAACAAGTCGATTTTCGTCCAGGCCTAGGTCTCCTCGACCACATCTTCACACTGTCAAATTCACGAACTCCGCAGCTTCGACCGACGACCAACAATCGTAGGATTCTTGAACATCAGATCGACATTTGATTTAGGGAACCTTCTACTAAGGAAAAGCGTGTCCGACTATTCCATAGCCATTTTGAGACAACTGTACAATCCCACTTCGGGCAAAGTTAGAGCTTACAGTCGACTCTCCTCTCCATTGGCTGTCACTAGCCGCGTTCGATCTATTTTCAGTTTCCCTTCTCAATTTTACCACTGGAGATGTCGTCCAGCGACCTTTATTTGTCCAGAATTGCGATGTTGAGCTTCATTCTGGAGAGAGAAGCACACTGATCATATCGTTTTAATGGCGAATGATCCACAAACCGCCCAGATCACTGAAATGCTTACCGATGGAAATACTTAAGTACGGTCTGTATTTTACTCAAGCCAAATACAATGCGCCACTCCAGGTTTTGTGGTTTTTGCGCGTGCCCTCACCACTGCTGGTGACATCCTGGAATAAGTTCCCTGCTTCACTTATCTAGAGAGTCACATCATGGTTGGCGGCGATGTTGGATGTGTTTTCACAACTGATCGCAAAGGTCCGCCTTTCATTCATCAGACTGGAACACCTATGGCATCGTCGTGATGTCAGTCTAAAACTGTGAAGCTCCCGGATGACAGCCGGAAGACGACTCTTAGGGTTACAGTTAATTCGGTGTACTTTCAAACGCATCACAAAATGGAGGATGTAGTCCATACCGATTATCTACCAACTTATAGCCACGAATTAATGTAAGTTTCGCTCGCCGTAAGATGCAATCGTTAACCTGGCACTCGGGAATGAAGTCACTGCCCACTAACGAACCTGAATGTCGTTGTTCCGCATTTCATTCCACACCGGAATCTACGCATCTCATACTTAGTTCAAGACCTTACAGTACTTGGTTCGCAGTCAATACCGATGATGCGTTATCCTTCTTTTTATAATCGACTACCTGTGTAAAGCAGCTGTAACAACGGAACTACGCCAAATAATAACCATTTGGGTAATACTTAATATTTACCAATAATACATATGTTTCTCCTGTTGCAAGTAACTGTGTCTGTAACAGCACAGATCAATTTATGCAAAAGTATCAATGCCGTTTCATGGGCGATATGCATAGGTGGAATATTTGGGTATGCGATTTACACAATTACGGCTCTGGCTTAGGTAAAAACCGAGTTCTGGGAACATTGGTGTTTCGATTTTTTGGTCCTTCTTGGCGTACATCATTGAGGGATTTGTTCAATGTGAATACAAAGATTATGGTAGTTACTTCAAGGTAACTAGAGAGTCTGTTTCTTAAGCTTGCCACATTATCTCGTACCCTGAGTGTGATTGATAGTTTATTCCATAGCTGAGCAGAAAATAATTAGTACGAATGTTGGTATATTCTATGTAAAATATTTGTCGCGAAGCTCTCGTGTTAAGCCCTGTTGTAGTTTGAGTTTAGGCAGGTCTTAATAGATTTTGTGTGTGTAGTAGTTTGAAAAGCGGCAATAAGTTATGCTTCAGTAGTCGAATCCAAAATGATTCGACTTGAAGTTCGTTACAGTGCTTTCGATACTTCATGACATGTTTAGTAAACGACCTCTGCAGCTGTTCCATAGCGGTTCTGTCACTCCTGGTCAGATTTCATTACATCTCGCCTTGGCGGTTTGTGACACAGCTAACCAATCATAGTTGCATTGCATAGTTACTTGCTCGCAGTTTGTCATAATAGTGCTCAATCCTGCTTCACTCTTAACGCTCAGTTTGATACTAGCTGTGAATATAGTAATTCGTTTGTTTTGTATCTCAACCCGCACCGAAGTTGATACTAAACCGTTAACTGCGATGATTACTCTCTTACATTCGTCCATCGAGATAGCTACGAGAACGTTAAATGCCAGTGTACTGAACAACCCATTGCCCCATCCGGATGCCAATTGAAATGGAGCCCCAACCTTTGTTGCTTCCGGATTGGATGGAGTTGTATAGTTGATTTTGAGCGAGCTTTTCGGCGTAGCCCTTGTGCGACGCCGTTTGACTTTAGGCGCCACTGTTGTTTCAGACACAACTTCGTGTCCGGGCCTACGTGCTTTTCGTCGCTGAGAGGGGGAAATGCCAGGCTCGCTGTGATTGCTATTAGGTTTGCCAATCGGATTCGCGGTCTCTAAGATTGGTGGACCGCCACTTCGGTTTATCCACAGTAGCCCAAAATACAGCAGTTTTAGTTTATTTCTATTGTATAATTCTTCCTAGTTTGTCTTAACACACAAAATTGCTTCTTTAGTAATCAATTTGATTGGGGACGCGGATTTACTGAGTCATTTGTTCAGCCGCTCACCCCTTACCGAATTTATTACACGTCCATTAACTTCACTGTTCGCTGGCTTAAACGCCTCCAACGAGATATCAGCGGGTGCTTTAAACACGACTGTCTAAACACCACATTGTTCTATACTAAATCCGAAAGTACCGGAGCCTCCGAGTTAGTTGTTTTCAGCACGGGTTTAGAAGACATGTCCGTTTCAGGCGAAATCTGGTGTTGTCCATGCTCGAGTTCATTTAGCCCGAGGTGCCCGAGCCTGTCAACGCTGAACGAGGAGTAGGCTGGACTCTCGCTGATTGCGATTGGGTTTACAATTTTTGACAGTTGTCTCTATGACTGTCCGTCCCAGTCTGCCGGGACAGTTTGTGTGATTATTTGGACGTTTGGGAGTAATCGAAAAGGTGCTGGTTTCCTCTTCAGGGAGTCTAGTTAGATTCAATAAAATTGCGGCATCTTTGGGCTTCGGAGTCTCTAGGTCTAGTATTTTTTTTCTTGAGGGAAATCAAATGCCGCTGTCAATTTGATCTCTTCTTCACCCATACCATCCGAGATATCCAAGTCAACGGTGCGGAGGCCAATTAGAATAATAAATTTCTGCACACAATCAGCATCATTACTTTCGTGAGTACCCTTGTTTGTACCGGAGGTTTCAATCAGTTTTATCGTGTCAGCATTGCATGACAATCCTTGCAAGCGCTAACAGCACAACGAATGTTGTGCGCGATTGTAGGACTTCTCGGTAGAAGAGGAATTTACAGACGGAGAAATTAGTGGACATCGGCTTCTCATGACCATTTTTTCAACCTAGTGCGACTAATGGGAGTATGCTCCAAGCTACAAACCTCCATGAATTTTTTTCTCATCTTGTGGCTGAGACCACCTCCTGTGCTGACCCTTCTTGGTAATCAGCTAAAAATCTTTCAGAAATTCAACTACCTAGGCAGTTGTACCAGCGTCGGTACACTCGAAGACGAGGTCACGAACCGTAGAGCAAAAGTTAGACTTTTACTGACTTTCGCCACCTATGGTGTCGGTGCGACATCACTCTTTCCTTAGAGGGTAGAGTTTAGAATGCAGCTGAATGTTCGACCCTGCTGTACGATTGTGAAACCTGGCCCATTAGATCAACAGACATAGACATGTTAGTTACGTTTGACTACCTTCTCATATCTGATGGAAACACCGCGTGAGTATTGGGTGTGTTCGGCGCCTTGATTATGGCCCAGAAAGAACAAGTGTACCGATCAACACGCACCAGCCTGCGATGGCTGGGCCACGTGTTGCGCGCACCGGCACACTGACTACGACGTCATGCATTGTTTGCGCACCTGGGGTGTGGATGAAAAAAGTGGAAGGGAGACAGAGGGACGACTTGCTTAAGAGGAATGAAGGCCCTCACTTCGAAGCTGGCCTTTGTTGGATGCTCTCGACTCCCTGGTTGGTGCTCGAAAGTCGATGAACATGTTTGGCTGGATACACCTGTTAACATGGCAAGGAGCCGACCTCAGTGTCATTTCTGTTACGCGTTTCTTTGTCCCTCCCTCTCGCTTAATCTCCTCTCCAACCATGATCTCATTTCCTACGTGGCACAAAAGCCTACTTTTAGCTCTCCGGAACCATGTCCATCAGTTTCTGGTGGCTCAGCTAGCGTGCGCTTGTTGTATTTTTTTCTTCTTTTCTTATGTTTTATGACACAATAGCTGAAGTGTTTCCTACCTCTGAGTGATGTGTACGCTTAGCATCCATCGAGTTCCCTGGTTTGATCAGGCTTGAGTTAGCCACCATGCTCTCGGAAACCGGCTGTAACATGTTATGGTCATTTTCTTTTTTGTTACGTCATTTTGCTTCACTTCTGTTAGACCACACATAACAGTAAAGATATCCCTCAGACTGACGGTGCATGGCACAATTGGGCTGGGCGTATCTTTGTCTGTCTTCTTGCTCTTCTTGTTTCTATGACAGTAGCTGGATTACAAACGCTTTTGGGGAACCGTATTGAGATGACGATATCGAGCCAAATCCCATGGCAGACATAATAAGTGTAAGGGAGTGAGGAGCGAACAAAGGGAAGACCAATATATAACCGGTATCAAGTTCTGATTGTCAGAAAGATAAAGGATATCGGGATAGGCTAAGGAACCCCGTAATAAGCAACGAGACTGCACATTTACGTGGTGTAACGGTTTGCGTACCTCGTCGACCCATTGAGCTATACTAAGTGGGGCAGTTGAGTCCATTGAGAGCTACTCCTACCAGGTTGGTCAATGCTTAGAGGTTAGACGAACTCAATCTTCTGGTCCTCCAGGTTGGGGGTTGGAAATGGGATGTCGTCCATTTCTGTAAAACCGAAATGTTGCTACATTCGCTACCTTGCGGACAAACTTTAGAGCCAAAGGGTTTGGTTGAGAACCCTAATCGTTCT